GCTTGTATGTCTCACACGTAGACATATTCCATAGCTTCCACAACCATAGTCTGCTGTGTTCTCGCACAGCAACATGCTAGGAGTCTCCTTATACGATGCCTCGAGACAAGGCTGAAGATGAAGATGAACAGCATGAGAATGATCGTGACAAGGGCGATGATTGATCCCTCGGACCAGGAAGGTTCTATTGGAGAGACTTGGGATTGCTGGTTTCGGTGAAGTTGTGGTATCTTGACACCATCAAAAACCATTCATGTGAATGGTCGGTTGCTCAGTGCTAAAGAACGATTGAGAATAATCGAGGAGCACGGTGTACATGTCGATGAGAATTGCTAGAAGGGCAAGAGCTTTTAGTGTTTGCTATACCTTTGTAGTCCGATGAGATCGGGTAATTTCGCACCTAATACACAACTTCGCTTGTTCTGAAAGTACGTTCCTGGGCCTTTGAAAAGCCAGCATCCCATTTCTTGATTTCACAAACGTTGTACATGTATCCTGCTGTCCCCTTCTGATATCTTCCAGGCTGCCCCCTCTCTTCATGTCTAATTTCATTGGTCCTATGTCCAGATCTTTGAGCACTAACCATTAGTAGATTGATTGAAAATGCTAATACGAGAATGGTGAACATACCATGGCAAACAATCTGACACGGCTCTTCCAGCCGCGATGCAGACAGCATCTGAGGAAAATTCGGATCCCTGAAAGAACCAGAAACATCGCGGTGAGGGCGACGATTGCCTCTGTAGTCCAGGAAGGGGGTGGGGAGGTTGTGGATAGCAAGTCTAAGAATAGATGGGAGGTTTAGTGTGGCCATGGAAGCGAGATATTAGGGAGTATACAACAGAGATTTCACTTACCTTGCTATGTATCATTGGAGTGACCTTGTATCGAAGCCATTGCGCGTGATAAACGTGCGTTGTCTGAGTGTAGAGGTGCCCTGAGTTGCTGGATCGCTACGGTTTTCATCATGGTACTTCTGTCGAGCCTCTGCCTACTATGCACGTATGGAACATCTTTTCATAGACTTGTGAAGCGATTGTTGTCACGTCGTCTGAGTGGCCGAGGTAGCAATTCTTTGTACTGGGTAGGTTGTACCTGCAATAAGACTGTGAAGATAAAGAGCATTTACTGGTTGCGTATCGAAGGACATTCAGTTATTCAGAACTCATGAATTTCTCTAACTAGATCTTCCTACATAACCCCACCAGCCCATCCTTCCTATATCCATCCAAGTCTCACAACCTCCCTACCCGCCTCGTCAAAGGCAGCAAGTTCAGCCAGCGACATTGAACAGAAACCACGTTCCTCGAAAACGAAAATTCCAGCCCGATCCGAAAACCACCTTCCCAGCGGACAGGTACAAACCATGCAAAAATATCTTCAAGACATTATCGACCATGTAAAAGGGTGAAAAAAGTGCTGAGATGAAGCATGCGCCATAAGCCTACTCTTCACGAAACACCTTAAGGACAAGGCCAGTGAAGAGCAAGACCTGGAGACCCATGTGGGTATAAGCAGTTTTGAAGAAGATAGCTTTCCGGACTACTTGCCAATAGACGAGTAATCTAGAAGCAAGACAGTCCGCAAGGTGAAAAGAAGTATTTAAACAGATTTCCAAAAGATCAGATACACAAAGGAAAGGTGAAAGCATTGCTTTGACGTTCCTCATAATGATTGCCTTGCCCAAACTCACATAGCCATGCCGGGGACAGGTTTCCTTGATGGCATGGGGCCGGCGTTGGGGTTCATAGGGCTAGGTCCTGGAGCAGGGCCTCGCCGCATGTTACCGACTTGGTTTGCAGAGTTGGATCGCGGACGACCCATCTGTGGGGGAGGAGCCATCTGGGGACCGCCGCCGTACGGTCCAGGAGACATTGAGCGAGGAGCACCGGCGTATGGTGCGTTGCTGTTGGATCGGCCGCGAGGAGCACCTTGCATTGGAGGCGACATCTGACGTGGTCCAGGGCTCATAGATCGTGGACCGGGCGACATGTTTCCGTTTGGATGTTGTGGGAGAGGCGAGTTAGGACCGCTGGCAGGCGAGAGCGGACGGGGTTGAGGAACGCCGCCGGGACCCATTGGCGAGCGGATGGGGGGACCGCGCATGCCCGGGGGCGGCGCTTGACGAGGAGGACCAGCGCGAGGCTTGACAGGGTGCTTGGAAAGACAAGTGCGAGGAACGACACCTTGTTGGGAGCGGTCCATGCGGATGCAGAGTGCCTATATGTGATTAGCAGGGTTCGTATATGTAAGAAATGTCTCACTCACCCAACCGTCGTCGTACTCATGCAACATCCTGACGAGCTGACCAGCGTTGAGACCAAGTTCATCCTGCATTGACGGCTTAAAGTCGAGCTGGACACGATGGACATTGTTAGGAGCGGGAGCAGGGCCATTTGAACGAGCGCCAGCAATGGCACCAGCGATAGGCAGAGCACCAGTAGGAGCAGGACCGGGAGACGCAGGAAGGTCTTCGGTCCAGGCAGGGCTCGGCGGAACTCCGTCAGACCCAACGGTAATGCTGGGCGGTGCCGGGAAGCTTTGGGACTGTGGTGGGACTGAGGACATTGCTGTTGCTGCAGCGACGGGATCAATGTCAGCGGTAGCGATAGCTGCGGCAGGATTGGCAAAGTCGGCGCTTGGCTTGGTCGAGTGCATTGGAGAGGTAGTTGGAGGTGAGTCGGGGATCTTGGCCTGAGCAGCATCGACGGCAGCATTGTTACCGAAGGGATTGGCAGAAGGTGGGCCGGACATAGGGTCATTGAAGGGATTCTCTGCGGGCATGCCAGCAGCCCCGGGGCGTTCCCAGGCACTCTGGGGTTGATCTGGAAGGGCACGCTCCTTGGATGGGGTTGGAGGTGCTGGGCCTGCAAATGCCGGATCGAATTCTGTCAAAGGTCTGAGACTGAGACGCGGTGCTGTTGACATGGTGCGCTCGGTGCGGACGGGTGACACGGGCGCGATGATGGTCGGGACAGGTGCTGGGGTGTGATGGACCTGAGCTGGGGGCGGTGGAGGCGCGTTGTACAAGTCGACCTTCTCGTTGTCCTTGGGCGGGACCATCTGCTTCTTCTTGCGGCGATACATCAAAAGGATACCAACGAGGAGCGCACCAACGAGGAGCAAGATACCGAGAGCAATCCCAGCCTTTGCGCCTGTAGACATAGCTCCAGAGTCGGCAGCGGCAGCGGCAGAGACAGTCGCAGAAACCGAGGCAATGCCAGCGATGGCAGTGGGAGCGCTTGGGGTGGGCGTCCTGGTAGCAACCATGAGGGTGGAATCCTGCCGGGTGGGTGCTGCATCGTCGTCATCACTCCTGGACTGCCCGGAGGGAGCGGGCAGGAACGACGCCAGTTTGGAGCTCTCAGGCTTGTTGGAGGGCCTCGAGTCGCGTGCAGATGAAGTTTGTGGAGGGAGCGGTCGCTCTGCGGGCGCAATTAGTGTTTTGGGCGCTTCTTGAGTCACCCAGTTGACTTTGCCAGTAAATGTATTAGATGCGGTCACGACGCGGACGGACACTACAGTCTCAACCCTCTGGTTGTTGTTGTTGCTGTTGTCATCGTCGTCGTCGTCGCGGTTACGCTGACGTCGGACCAGATGGGCTTTGCCGTGGTGGTGGGCCATGTTGTATGTAGTGAGCCGCAGCTGAAAGGTCGAATTGACGTTGCGCAGTCGGTGGATGGCGGGCTGACTGGTTGTTTGCTGTTGGGTGTTCACATTCACTCCCTCGTCGACAATGGCACGGCCAGGTTCTTGCGCGATTACGTATATGCGCAAACAGGAGAGGCCGGAGAGTATTTACTACAGCTGCAGATGAGGCTCAAGGGAGGTGGCGCAAGAATGTAAGTACAGTGCTGGCGAGTGGCTCGATTGGCGTGGAATGTGGTGTCGGTGAGTCGTGACTATTTATTTACTAAACATGAAGGAGCGTGTAATTGGGGTGGTAAAGAGTGTATTGCGAGGGCTGCGCTCGATGAACGAAGGGCGAACGACAGCCGGGTCGCGGGTAGGTAGAGAATTAGAGATAGGGCGGAGGTGAAGGTGAGAAAGTGAGCAGACGGGCGCGCAAGAAACGAGGCACACGGGAAGCACGCAGGAAACGCGGCACAGAGGCAGCCCGCGCTCGAAACGTTGGCGTGCCTGACCAAACACGCCGTTCATCCCTCCGCTTTTGGCCTTAGTGGCTGCAGAGGCCCAGGTACACGACGCTGCTGATTGGCCGAGTAAATTACCTTCTGGGGGGTGTTGATGAGCATGTGCTATTTTCTCCTCAGCCTCGCGCCCAGGTGGGCCGTCGACCCCCTTATCGCGGGCTATCGTGGCGTTTGGTCTTGCGAGACCCTCTGTGGCCGCTACCGTACCATCTCGTCGTTTCGTTTCACTGTGCTTGTGCTTGTGGCGGCTGCGAATGGCGCGCTGCCGTTGCTCTGTATCCGCACTCCAGTCGCCAGGTCGACGGTGGTCAAAGATGGGATCAACTGAATCTTCAAGTAAATGACGTACAAGGGGTCCAATGTGCAGCCGGTAATTGCCTGCCGCTGGCAAATGCACACTTGTCATGAACCTCTGTGCGCTTGGCTCCCATTTTCCAGCCGTCTCGCAACCACTCGCAATTTCGGAGACCGTCAATTTGATGAATGTATATGGCCCAAGCCCGAGGCTGTGCGGTCATGCCTTGCCCTGGCAAGGTACCTCGAGGCTGTTGGGTGATCGTCATCCTCCTTCCAAGGTTGCATGTTGGGAGGCTGGCACCGCCTCACGTGATGCGCTTTCTCCTGGACCCCAAATAAGAGACACTCGCAATTTGTCGCATCAACAGAGTCATAGTAGAGCAAAATGAAGCAAAATAAATCCATCATTTGTAGCAGGCTATAAGCCAAGTGGTTCGACTGTTGCTTGCAAAGATTCGTCGATCAAATCTTCAAAAGGGGCAACTAACCAACAATCGGCAAAAAGTATACTCCCAAAGATGGAGTAACACAAAAGAATGCAAGCAGATATGCCCTCTGCCAGAATCGAACTAGCGATCTTATCATGTTTTCGCCTGAGGGGCAATACTAGTGATACGCTTTACCACTAAGCCAAGAGGGCGGGATCCGATTGTAAGTCGGTTGGACTAGTGAACTGAGATGAGCATTTTGACGATAGGATGTTATATTACCTAGACAAAATAAAAGAAGAGTCTCGCCTTCATGTGGCTTGTGTATTCTCGAGCTCAAATCCAGTTGAAAAGATTTCTCTCTGCATATGCATCGCTCACAAGAATAGCCGCCTAGCGTCAATGAGTGTGGACCACGGAATTTTTCACCAATAGTAGCAAGCTACTCATGCAGCAGTGGAAAGTACGCATGGGCACAGCAAGCATTGGAAAGCAACGTCGTTTTTACAGAACTAGCATATTTGACTTCCTGTCAATTCTCATCAATTCACAATTGAACACACAAACGCACACACAAGACGCTACATTTGCACGGGAGGTAGCCAGTTTAGTATATTCGCAGCATCATGGACTTTCGGAAGTTTCCATTAGCAGAAGACCCATTGATGTATCTAGCTGCATTACGGCTCAGGTTGCTGGATGTTTGGAACAAAATATATCCATCGTTGAGTCGGCGTCTATGGATGCAGTCGCAAAGCATCGATCAGGTGGGGCACTCTAGCCGAGGCGTCCAGACTTCCGCAAACCTCACCCATCCAATACCATTCTCGATGCCCTGTAAAAAGCATCGTCTATCACGACTCTGCTTCGTGTAATACTCCTATAACTAGTACTGATTGGCGAGATCCGCGTAAGCCGATGGCCAACGCTGCGCCCATCCAGACAAGACCGTATAGAAGTCACAAAGTCCCTGCATGTACGCGATGTCGGTCGCGCAAGATCCGATGCCACATCGACATTCCCGGAGAACCATGCCTGTCCTGTCGCGAGAGACGGCTGAAATGCCAGTACATTGAGAGCACGACAGGCAATAATTCCCCGACTGAAGATCATGGAGACCGTCGACCGTCAAAACGACGTCGACACAGTGAGCCTGAAGAAGGCCCATCGCGACCACACTCAGCACCAATCTTACACAAGCCTGGTAGCAATCCATCTGCTTCTATTATGCTAGCGCCACATCTTGCTGAAGACGTGGACATCTTCAACCGACACATCTTACAACATCGGAACCCGTCGGGAGAAGATTCAGAACCATCCAAGTACCAGACACTTCGGCATGATGTGCACGATCCAGTGGTGTACACATCAGTCCCAAGATTCAGGACCGGTCTGGCTCCAGGAAGTGGATGTGGGAAAGAGCAGCGAGAGATTGTCGACCAGATCATAGGACCTTTCAAGCGCGAGGTCGTCGAGCTATACTTCAATCACGTGCACTACCACTTCCCCATACTGGATGACGAGACATGCGAGCTCCTACGCAGTGGACAGCTCTCCAAAGTACCAAACAACCTCATGTGTGTTATCAACGCACTCGGCTCCGCCATGTGGACAAGATCAGACACACTCAAAATGCACCCAAGACCCGACTCGTATTACGTCTGGAATAAAGGCATATCCGCTACCCTAGAGGACTTTCTGAGCCCTGGTATGCCCACCATCCAATCCGCTGTACTTGACCAGATAGGTCGCCCATCAGTATCTATTGTGGGCAACATCACACTCAACGGCCGCACCATTTCCCTCGCCCAGACCTTTGGCCTACACCGGGATCCTTCCAAATGGAATATCACTGCCAATGAGAAATCCGTACGCATCCGTCTCTGGTGGTGCTGTCTCATCACAGACCACTGGTCTAGCATTGCCTACGGTGCTCCTCCTCACATCTCCAAAGGATACTACGACGTGCCCCGACCCACTGTCGCCTCGCTCATCAGTGCACGCTCAACACCTCGCCAAAAACACGCAACAACATGCTTCGTACACCTCTGCGAACTCACCGAACTCCTCGGCGACATACTCCCCCTCGTCTATCATCTCAGTCCGGACCGCGACCACCTCGCCCACGAAGTCGAGCGTTTCAAGCGTGAACTCAATGTCATCGAGGAATCTTTACCAGACTGGCTACCTCTTCCCAACCGCGCAGGCTCAAGCATGCTCTGGCTCTGCATTCTCTCCATCCGCCTCATCCTCGCACGTGTCACCTTCCGAAGCGCCATCCTCGACGGCGACAGCACACTCGGCCTCGCGCGCATGGCACAGCTGCGCATCGCGTCCTCGGCTGTGCTCGACTACATCTTATCGCTCGGCGAATCGCAGTTCCAGGACTTCTGGCTACCCTACGCGACGCAGATCCTCGTGCACGCCATCACGGTTAGCTTGAGATGTACAGTCGAAACCCAAGATGCCGAAATCAGAAACACGTCTGTCCAAAGACTACAGAATGTGATCGCGCACATGCAATTCGCGAGAGATAATTACGAATGGGACATTGCCATCTACGCCCTCGAGCGCTGCGCCGAACCCGTGTCGCGCATTGCATCGCTGAATGCGCGAGAAGTACCCGACGCTGCGGACGTTGCGAGCTTGAATGGAAACGCGAATGGATTGCATGCTGCTACTACTGCTACAAGTGGCACAATGGATGCACCCCCACTACCGGGCGGGTTTGACGACACGGCGTTCTTGCTATCGGATATCTTGGATCCGAATGCGTTTGATTTCTCGTGGGATGCGTTGTGGGACACGCCGTCCCACATGTCAAATTTCTCCATATAAAAAATAGGGTGTTGCTGGTGGTGATGTGGTGGTAATGTTATGTATGGCAGAGGAGATATGCGATTGATACCAAATGCGTTGATATATTATTGATCGATGAGTGACGTCAATCGGGGCTCAAGTGATAAGACAGTCACATCACAAAGCATACGAATCTCAAAGCTTCCACATCAAAGTAGTCTCGCGACTGCTCATTCCATTCAGCTGAATGCCTATCTATCATACACAAGGATCCGCATCATCATGCGTTGTCCAAGAAGTTGGGGAGGGCGGTATAGCACTTCAAACTCATCGTGCGCGCTCTGATTAAAGCCATGTAGCAGCAATGCCAATACTGCGCAAAAGGGGGTATCTGATCGCCTGCTCTCAAGACAGCGTTGAAGAAATAAAGGAGAAATATGTGGTAGACGTGCGAAACAAGAATCTAAGTGAAGATGCCTTATAGATGGGTGGATGTTAACAAAAAATATGTGGTTGAGTGGTGATGTAGCGATATTCGCTGATTGTGAGGCCATGACTGATCGGATGCGGGTCGTACAAATTAAATGGTGGTATGGGTGCAAGTATGTGACAATGAAAGAGATGATGAGATCGGATATCAAGTTCATGGCGGTAGTATGTGTGAGTGTCGCCTTACAATGGTTCGTAGTTGGGGTCGATCTGCAGCGTCGGCGTCCGGGCCAGGTTCTTCTGCTTCTGCCATTCTGAAGTGATTTCTTCGCGCACACCTTGACACCATTTGAGCAGTGCAGCATCGAGCTTCTTCCAGGCTGTGTCGTCGTCGCCATGTACGATTCCCATGACATCAACGTCCAGCTTGATGTCCCAGCGCAGCTCAGCTGCTTTGACCCAGAATCGCAGGTTATCGGCGCAGCGGTATGGCTTCGCGGTGTCGGTGTGGTATTGCTTAATCTCTTCGAATTGCCGTCGCGACTTTCGCACGAGGGTGTTGTGGAGATGCACTAGACGCAGACCATTCTGGAGAAGGGAGAGAAACGGTGTGGGAAGCTCTCCATCTTTGGGCTCGGACCATTGCGGTAGCGGCTCTGGATTACTGTCGAAGGATTTGAGGAAGAGGAGCTCCCTTTCACGTTCCTTTCCTGCCCAGTCACCCTCTCTCCAGGTCCAGAGTTCCCTCTCTTCAAACTCCAACTTCTCCTTCTCCTCCTCAGTGTCGAGCAACTTGCCAATGTCGACAACCCACTGCTTGATCTGGATGGTCTCGTAGGGTTGGACGCCGTTGGCGAAGTTGCGTATTGCAAGGCGTTTCAGCACTTCCAATACTTCATATAGCTCTTTTCGGATCTGCCGTTCAGAGCGGAGAGCGTACAGTCGCTGTGGCTCTTCGTGTGCGGTGTAGTAGTTCTTGGCGGCTCGAATAGCCAGCGTAGTCACATCGAGCAAGTTCAGGCCTTGTATCTCGAACCACTGGGACTGGTCGGCATCGACCTGCTGGTCAGTGCCGAAGCTCTTCTCAAGCTCCCGCAAGTGCTTCATGGCGTCTCCAAGCGCTTCGCGAAGTTCTCGGCGGAGAACGGTCATGTCAGGCGGAGGTGGCAGGTAGACAGGATTGTTCTTGTACGTGCTGACGGTAGGCGGCAGCATCATGGGCTCGTTGTCCTCCCAGCTAAGAGAAGCAGTCTCGTCGAGAGGAGATTCCACGAAGCCTTCGCCCAGGTGGTCGCCATCAGGGGAGCCGAGGGAGAAGGTGGACATGTCGCCCTCCATGGGCGACAGCGGGGGTTCGTTGCCAGATGCAGTGCGCGATGCCGCCTTCCGTGATTTGGCGACGCGTCCCGTGGCCGTGTCGAGCAAGCCGGTGCGGGCAAAGTAGTACTGGAGATGGGCGATGGTGCCCAGGTTCTGCACGCTCTCCCTGCTGCGCGCCGACTTGGAGAACTGGGTGCCTTCGGGACGCATGTAGCCCCTCCTCCGTCCGCCATCAGACAGCCTGGAGCTCGCCGAGCGCCCGGACACGGACGACACTGACGACGCAGTCGATACAGAGCGGTCGAGCATGGGCACGGCGCCGAGTGCCAGAGAGGGCACCGCCCACAGCTCGGGCGAACCAGCGCGCTCAAGTGGCGGAGAGGGTGTCGTGTCCACAGCGGCCATGGTTGCGAGCGACGTGGAGGCGTGAAGCGTGACGTGTGAAGCGTGAGGCGTGGGGCGTCGGGGACAGGGCGGTGAAAGAAGCGATAAAGGAATGTGGGCAGCTTCTGCAGACTGTGAGGGGCGCTGCAGAAGATGGTGTTCAGCGTTGTTTGTGGAGACTCATGGGTGATGTGCGGCTGTTGCTGAGGTGGGCGGGCGAGGGCGAGGGCGCACGGCGAAAGGGGTTTGATTAGGTTTCAGGGAGATCCGACGACGCGAA